TTATACTAATACCTGGACATCTTCACCTGAATCTCAAAATTTATAAATTTGAGAGGAATTGTGAATTTTCTCCTATATCACAGGAATTGTTCATCAAAAAAAAAAAAAATTGTTTCCTTCCACATGTAGTTATTGTTGATTCTTTTATATGTATCATTCTTATGAAAGATCATTGAAAGCCAAAGTACCATTTTTGTTTGGTTTTTCATTCTAATTTTGGTCTAAAATGTAGTAGCTTGATTATTTGGATTTAATCTCTAGAAAAAACAATGTCTCTAAACCTAATTACACTAGTAGATAAATTCCAATATAAGGTCATGTATCTGAGTGTCTTCTATAAACTAGTCATTATTTTAGATCCTGAAGGGCTATATCATTGAACAAAGCAAAAATCCAACAAGCTGTGCCCTCAGTTTAAATCTTGCTGGAGGGAGACAGAGATAATAATAAACAGGATCTAGTATACCCAATGCTGATAAGTGCTATAGAGAAAAAGAAAGAAAGGTAATGAGCCTGGTAAGGTAGTATGAGGCTGCTTCAAAAGGTCTGTAGAAAAATAGAATTGGAAAATCAAATAGAATTTTTCCACCAACTTTTGAAAGCCCTTTTGTATTTGAATGACGTGTGGGATAGGAGCCAGCCACCAGCAACTGACCTTGAGAAAGCATGAGTGTAATAAGCACGTTTCTTACTAGAAGAGAGTTCTAGGCAGCCGGCAGTTTCAGAGCTTGTGAAACTAGAGGAACAAGATCTTTTACTGACTTCAAGCCAACAAGTAAACTCGATATTGAGATGATTGTACAAAAATTTATAAATGTTTCCTAGAAAACTTCCTTTTATTATCATTCTCAAAACTGATTAATATATTTGGAAAGGTTTTGAGGGGCCAATATGCTGTATTATAAAGGTCATTGGACTGGGTGTAGTAAATTATAACTGTACAAAGCTAGGGAAGATTTTAGACTACCTTAAATGGTCCTTTGTGGCGCTGTGGGTAAATGCGCCAGACTGCAAAGCCGTTTGAACTGCAAGGTCGGCAGTTCAAGCTCACCAGCTGCTCCTCAGAAACCCTATACAGTGTTGCTATGGGCCAGAACCGACTCGACGGCACTTAACAACAACAACAAATGGTCCTTGGGAGTCCTGGTGTGGCACTGTGGGTTAATGCGCCAGATTGCAAAGTGGTTTGAATTGGAAACTCTATGCTGGGTTGCTATGGGTTGGAATCTACTCAAGGCACTTAACAATTGACAACAAATGGTCCTTAGTTCAAGTCTGGAAAAAAATTTTTTGATTTTACATTGATTGGGTCTGTTATAATTCAATTTTTTTAGTAGTTTTCATTCATATTTGCTTACGTTCTAGTCTCTTTTTGGAGAAGTATGAGTCAGATGAGACTTGCCATTAGGAAAACATCCATTGATCAAAATTCTTAATTCCTTAACAACTAGACAGAAAAAAATACAGTAAATAAAGATATTTATAGTTATATTGTCCATTAACAACACTCTTACTGGTATGGTGCTGTAGGATCAACATTGGACTACAAACCACAAGGTCTGCAGTTCACTCTATACAGGGTCTCTATAAGTTGGAACCAACTCGACAGCACTCTTAACTGTTGTTTCTCACAGGATAACGTTAACATTTTCAGAGAACTAAAATATATAATTGATATAAAATAAGATTTTATAGATTCTTAAATAGATTAAGTAATAGAAGTAAGTTTTACTCTCTTTAGCCACTCTTGAGGTGTAACCATATAATTATGTTTTTCAGGTTCTTATTTCCTGAGCTTCCTGAAGAGGGCAGCACAATTCCTCTTTCTGCTCCTTTGCCAACTGAAAGGAAGTCCTTCTGCACTGGGAAGTCAGACTCCAGATCGGAATCTCCAGAGCCAGGGTAGATGTAGCTGGGTGGGCTGATGGGGAAAGAAGGTGGGGACCAATTACTTCCTGTACATCTCAGTTTCCTCATTTCTAAAATGATGTGATTGGATGAGACCATCTGTGAGAATCCTTTTCCAGCTCAACTTCTGTTGACCATACCCCAAGAAAGTGTAGCCACAAATGATGGGGCATAAAGGCTGCCGAGTAAAGTAACATCATGTCGACCTACGGTAACCCCAGAAATCATAACCAGTATGGAAACAAAGTCGGTTTTCAGTTAATGAAAAGAATTCACACTTGGTCCAAGACAAAGGATTTTTGTCTTGGTAAGTCCCCATCAGTATACAGCCTAGAGTCCTGGTATGGCTGTAGGATGAGCACTGGACTGCAAGATTGGTTTGAACCACAAGGTTGGCAGTTCAAACTCACCAGCTGCTCCTCAGAAACCCTATACATGGTTGTGAGTCAGAACCGACTCTATAGCACTTCACAACAGTATGCTTTACTCAGTATTCCTCTTCCAGCTTTTAGCACCTGAAGCACTATGGTTCTGAATTGAATTTTAACATCTCAGCTTCTCTCCTTGCACTCCAATCTTTTGTAGTTACGTGGTGACAAGTTCTGGATTACTGCTTCCTGTCCTGCTACCTCGGCTCTACCCACCACTCTTTATGCTTTATGCCTTGGATAATGATCGTGAGGAAGACATTTACTGGGAATGTGTTTTGCGACTCAATAAACAGCCAGATATTGCTCTTCTGGGCTTCCTTGGGGTGCAAAGGTAATATACTAGTAAAAGGCAAAATCAGATGGTTTTCATTTAAAACGTAAACACCATTATCAGAAATTTTATATTTTGATATCTGATTGCATACATGACTTGCCAGGTTTATTGTTTACCAGTCTTATGAAACCAAACAGATCCTTAATATCATTGTTCCTAAAGATTTGTGGAGATGAGCATGCAACCGGCTTATTTGTTTTTTGTGGGGTTTTTTTTAACTATTTATTGTGAATTGAGTGAAGGTTTACAGAGCAGATCCTCAGTTTTACATTCAACAAATCATATACTTTGCTTCATCAAGGTTCCAATCCCTTCCATGTACCAACAGCATTTACCTCTGTTCACTCCAACCGCTGCACTCCTCCCTGTGTTTCCCACCACCCCAGCCTTCTGCCAACCTCCCTCCATTTGCTTAAGTTTTCAATTTTTTATTTTGCCTTAAATAACTGTGAAGTATGTGGCAGGATAACTCATAAATGTTTAGACAGATGAGTTATCCTGTTAATTCATAACTCTTTGAAATAAAATAGTTATTTTATATTCACATTCCTCAGAAAAAGTTCATTATATTCAGTCTCTGGCATTTTTCCTCACTGACTCTTCCATCCCTTCCTGTCTGTAATTTCTTTGTTTAAAAGTTTTAGAAATGCCTTGTTTTTGTTATTCCAGAAGAGTATTAAATGACTAGGTTTCTTTCTAATACTATGATCAAACTAATTTCCACCCAATAATTTTATACTTGTGTTATTTTAAAAAAAAAAAGTGGATAGCCTTAAACTGGAAAGTAATGTTTTCAGTGAACTGATAAAATAGTAAACATGAGATAAAACAGAATGAAGGAAAGGTATTGGCCAATATTTGGGAATACCTATAAGGTGTAGAGTTGTTTAAGTATAAAATGACAAATCCCTTAGGGATACGGTAGAAAAAATCTTATCATTTCTAGAACATTTATTAAAATGTAACTTATCTATGTAATGGAGTCCTGATGTGGTGCTGTAGGATAAGTACTTGACTGCTAACCACAAGATTGGTGGTTCAAACCCACCAGCCACGCCTCAGAAACCCCATATAGGGTCATTATGAGTCAGAACTGACTCTACAGCACTAACAACAGCAACAACAATCTGTGTAATAGTAATTTTTTAAAAATAGGGATGCCATTGTAGCTGCCAGCTGTTTTTATAAGAATTTATCTGTGTAGCATCCATTTTTAATAGTTATAGAAAAGCCACTGTAGCTCTCTTCTGGTTTGATAAAGCTTTACTTGCCATGAGTATCAACTTTATTAACAACTTGTGGATTCCATTGTAGGAAGTTTTGGCCAGTGACATTGTCAATCCTTGGAGAGAGTAAAAAGGTATAGTAGATTTTCATTTTCTTAGCAAATAGACTTTTCTTTGGTATTGGGAGGGGATTCAAGATAGCAAGAAATCTTTGTTTTCTTTTGGTAGAACAGTACCCAAGCATGCGTTAGCATCAGTTACTCACCTCATGTATTTGCTTGTCATTGCAAAAGACAGTTTTGTTTTGTTTTGTAAGTCATTAATATGATTTTTAATATTTTAAAATAAGTTACACTAAAAGTACACATATAACTGTACAAGGTTCAAATAGAAGAGAAGCATATAGAGAAACTCTTGATGATTCCTATAGATTCCTTCCTTTATTTTCCCTAGAGGCATCAACAGTCACATTGATGACAGTCACATTGATGATATACAAAAAAAGGGCCCCAAACATAAATATGTGACTTAATAAATTATCATGAAATGAATTGTGTAATTATTAACCCAGGTTAAGAAATAGAACCACACCAGTCCTCAAAATATCCCCCAAGTCAGCCAGTCATTCCAAAAGATTCAACTTCATCTCCTGGGAATTCACTATTCTGACTTCTACTAGAATTCATTTGATGTATTTTTTTTTTTTTTAATGTTTTTGTTGTGAATTGAATGAAAGTTTACATGGCAGATCATCAGTTCAAAACACTTTTATCCGTTTTCTTTTTTCAGGTTTTACCAACCACAAAAGATGCTTGCTTTGCCTCAGCAGTAGAATGTCTACAGCAAATTAGGTAATTTCTTCTTTTTGAAAAATTATATAAATCAAAATAGTGGTTAGTCTCTTAAGATGTTTCTGAGATCTCTACCTAAATGCAATATGAGATAAGACTCTTTTGAGACCTTTGTTTGGATTATATTTAGCTCTGTAAGGCCTTTGCATTTTAGAAGTGATGGACACCTACCCAGAAATGTATCTCTAACCAAATGAAAATTAACCAAACTTCTCATTCAGAGAAGAGTGTTTATTAGGAAAATAAGATGCCATGTGAGTAAGAGGAGATGATAATGACCTAGTGAACTCTTCCATAGAGACCATAGACAGTGGAGGCCATCTCTCAAAGAACCACAGAGTCACAAAGGCCACCCTCCCAGAGACTCTTAGGCATGCGAGCCCTCAAAGGGAATAATGTCAAAAAAAAAAAAAAAAAAAAAAATCAGATGTTCTACTAAGAAAATTACAGTGTACCTTTTTGTCTTTTTGTTACAACAGCACAACATTTACCCCATCTGACAAGCTGAAGGTCATCCAGCAGACTTTTGAAGAGATTTCTCAGAGTGTCCTAGCAACACTCCAGGAAGATTTTTTGTGGTCCATGGATGACTTGTTTCCAGTTTTCCTATATGTGGTGCTACGGGCCAGGTGACTAATCCTTTTGTCTTTAATATTGTTGTTGTTGCCAGGTGCCGTCGAGTTGGTTCCAATTCATAGCAACTCTGGGGTATAGGGTTTCTGAGGAGCAGTGGGTTTGAACTGCCAACCTTGTAGTTCACAGTCCAGTGCCACATTAGGAGTGACTAATTTTTTTTAAAAAATACTTTATTGTGGTTAAGGTAAGAGTTTGCATGGCTAATTGTGTTGCCATTTAACAACTTCTGCAAAAATTTTCAATGATCGTGGTTTCATTTTCCACAGTGAATTCTCATTTGTTCTGTTCCGGATGTGCCATTTCCAGTACTCTAGTTTTCCACCCCATTACCTTCTCATCTTTGCTTTAGAGCAGTTTTTGATTTTTTGTTTGTTTTTTTAAAAAAGTTCGTGGGTGGTAGTCTTAATTTCAAAATCCAATTTATTATTTAGCTAACAGGTAACCTCAAGGAATAAATCCGATTTGAGTTTTAAAGTGTATCTCAGGGCAATAGTGTCGGGTCCTTCTCTAGTTTCACCTGAGCTTTTTAAGAATTTGAGTGGTATTCCATATTTTGCTCTCATTCCATAAGGGTTCATTTAGTATGGCCCTCATTAGAACAGTTGTTAAGTTGTTGTTAAGTGCTGTCGAGTCGGTTCTGACTTATAGTGGCTCTGTATAGGGTTTCCAAGGAGTGGCTGGTGAGCTTGAACTGCCAACCTTGCGGTTCAGATCGACTTTACAGCCCAGCACATTAACCATTGGGCATTGTTGAGCTCTTCTGGTCTCAGAATAAATGACACTGTGGAGTGACTCATTATTTTAACAAGTCTTACCGCTTGCTTTGTGAACTGATGGTAGGAATATGCCCCGACACCAGGAAAAAGTGCACTACTCTTTGCCCATTCCACTGTGATGGTAACTTTGTATGGAGGTGTTTTTCATTTCCACCTTAAATAGATTCAGAAGGGAAATGGACATGCAAGTGGGAATGACTCCGCATCTTTTTCTCTTTGGGGCAGGATAAGGAATTTGGGCTCTGAAGTCCACCTTATTGAGGATCTCATGGACCCTTACCTTCAGCATGGGGAGCAGGGTATAATGTTCACCACCTTGAAGGTGAGTATCGGCATTGATTTAACAATCTTGTTATCTTAACATTTGACCTTCATTTGCCGTATTATGAATCTGTCAGTAATTAATGACTTCTTATTATAAGCTTAACGAAAACCTAAAATACCTTTAGAATATACAGGTGGGGAACTGGCAAGGAACAGGAAAAATGATAGCAAATGATGGACTGTCAATATCAATAAAGCTCTTTCTTCTGTCCCATGTGCATTGCTATGTTTTTGTCATTTCTTTAAAAGTAAATTTGAAGAAGTATTTTGAATTTTATTTTTCAGGCATGTTACTACCAGATCCAGCGTGAAAAGCTTAACTAGGCTGCATAACAGCTTGAAAACGGGATTATCTGCTGCCAAGTGTTACAGTACCATCTGGAGTCTTCCTGTCGTGGCAGAAGGCAGTACTGAAATGAGGAAAGACGTTGTGTTCTCTTGTTGGTTATTTCTGAGCCTTTTACTGACCTGAGCCCAGGAGGTAAAAAAAGACTATAGGTTAAAGGAAAGATTGAAAAAGGGTAGAAATCCAGTTAGACCAGGTTATGTTATTTCCAAAAATATCATCCATCTATTGTTAGAAAAAAACAAAACAAAAAAAGAGGATGCCTCTTTCAGAAGTCAAAGGTATGTCGACTTCATGAAGTTGTAAGAAAAGGTTTCAGTATAGCTTCTTATATTAAAGAAGTTGATGAATATTTCTCAGTTTCTGGTTTGCCGGAATCCATCTGCTATTACCTCATACTCCTTTACGAGGGGCAGATTGTAATTGAAGTTAAAGTAGTCGTCACACTATGCCTTGCGAAATTCCCTACAATCATGTGTACATCAGACTGCTTGGCTGAAGGAGGGCAAAGAGGAACTTTTAAACTGCAGTTTTAACTTTTTCTCAGCTTTCTCACTGTTCCTGATGGGAAAGGTTCTATGCTGTGACTACTATATCCTGACCCCTAAACATGGAATGCATCCAAGTAGGAGTCTCCAGGTTCCTGCCAGAAGAACATAGCACCGTTGCTCCTGGTTTCTTTACCGTGCTACAGAGATCAGCTACACTGGAATTCAAACACTGACTCTGAGCTGCCTTCCAGGGCCCTCAGACAAGAGTCTGAAGAGCTTTTGCATGCAGTATGCGCCCTGGAGCAGAACAAGTGAGGGACACACAGCAGCAGAACTCCGGCCACCCCCAACCTAGTACTGTGCTTCTTTCCTGAATTCACAGAGGGGAAGGACACATGAAAGAAGCGCTGGGTTTTCCCATCTCAAAAGTATTGTGACGCCTCCAAATTTCAGTGTTTTGATTTTTTAAACAAATGTCCCAACGTGGTTTAAAATTGTGCGTTTACACTGTACCAGTAACACTAGTAGCTGTTTTGAATCACATAGGTGCTCTTCCTCACCTCTTCTCCGACCTTCTGACTTAGGTTAAGTGACTAAGCTCCTGTTAATCTATTTTGAAAAAGGATCATGGTTTCTGCTCTACTTTATAACCAAGGTGAGTGTTTACTAAAATACTGTTTTGGAATGTCAGCTGTAATGTACAGCAATTTTCATAATAAAAAGTTCATCTTTCTGAGGTGGTTTTATGATTACAGAACTAATGACATACAGGATGGGCTGCAAAAATTAATGAAAACCCAGGCTTTAGCATTTCTTTTGCCCACATTGTAATCTCTGCCCCTTTGTGTTGGCCTCGGTGGTCTCTCAGGGGTTTTAGAGAGCACCCTCTCTAAAATTAATGCAAACTGTAGTACTTTGCTGACAAAGAACAAGTTAACTTTCTGGTCTAATAACCCTAGGACAAGTGTCTTGAAATAAATCTATGATTTCTTTGGTAAAAGGCGTATTTTGATTGTTGCTGATTTCCCTGCATACACAAATTCAGGACAAGAGAAGAATGAGGATTTAAAATTCAAGTTAGAAATGCTGCGTTAATCCTCTCCCACTTGTAAATGACAAAACTTCTCAAGTCTTTTCCTCTCACTGCTGTTTTCTTTCAGAGCAGGAGCAGCAGTTTAAATACTTTGGATTTCCATTGGGGGCTGCTTTGACTTTCTGAACTGGGGGAAAGGACACACACCGAATACCACATGTTTATAATAAGGCTGGTAGAAGCAAATTTACTGATATCAAATGTCTTTGAACCCCTTTAAGAGAGTCAGAGAGACAGGGATGTTATGTGGAAGTGGAAAAAGAAAACTGAGTTTCACTGAGAAATTCTCTGAAGATGGGGGTGGTTGTGTGCCATGGAATCAGTTCTGACTTACGTGACCAGTATAGGGTTCCCAAGGCTGTAAATCTTCATGGGAGCAGGAAGCCTCATCTTTTTCCCTCAGAGGCTGGTGGGTTCAAACTGCCAACCTTGTGGCTAGCAGTCCAGTGCTTATCCTACAGTACCACTAGCAGTCCCCCGATGACGGTAGGTGGTTTCGATTCTTCGTGCTATGTGTATACTTTTCAAACAGCATATTAAAATATATTTTTGATGAATACTCTTGGGAAGATATCTAAGTTTCTAGTCCAAAGTTTGTCCACATAGAAATACCTAGTTTTCATATAGCAGTTTACAAAGATTTTCACATACTGAAAACTCACAGCATCCCTGTGAAGCAGACATTAACCTCACATGTCCCCATTTTGCAGCCAAAAGAGTAGCTGTAATTTTGCTCAGTGTCAGAGCAGGAACTCCAGCCTAGATCTCCCTCTACTCCACTTCCAGGGTTCTTTTCTCTTGCATCTGCCTGAGATGTATTTCATCACTGGGATGTGCATTGAGTGTTAGAGCAAAAACTCTGTTGAAAATGAAAACTTAATAAAATGAAGCCCTTTTGATCTAATACACTGCTCAGTATGCTCACAAAGTTTGATTTCCCAACTGTGTTTTCATCTACAGTGGAGAGCAAAGGAAAGCCATGTGCTGACCTTGGCATCAGCAATCCCCTTTTTCTTGTTCTTTCTGTGATGTTGTTAGATACCATCAAGTCAGTTCCAACTCAGCAACCCTTTGCACAGCAGAATGAAACCCTGCCTGGTCCTGCACGGTCTCACAATTGTTATGTTGAGCCCAGTGTTGCAGCCAACATGTCAGTCCATCTCTTGAGGGCCTTTGTCTTTTTCGATAAACTTCTTTAACAAGCATAATAACCTTTTCCAGGGACTAATCCCTCCTGATAACATGTCCAAATACATGAAATGAAGTTTCACCATCTTCATCTCTAAGGAGCATTCTGGTTGTACTTCTAAGACAGATTTGTTTGTTCTTCTGCCAGTCCATATTTTCAATCTTCACCCACACTATAATTGAAATATATCAATTCTTCTTTGGTCTTCCTTATTGATTGTCCAGCTTTCATTTGCATATATTGTTGAGTGCCATCGAGTCAGTCCTGCCTCATAGTGACCCTGTATAAGGTTTTTAAGGGGCAGCTGGTAGGTTCAAACTGCCAATCTTGTGGCAGCTAGCAGTGCATTGCTCATCCTACACCAGGATGGATATGAGGTGATTGAAAATACCATGACTTGGGTCAGAAGCACCAGACACTGTCCTAAAAGTGACATCTTTGCTCTTGAACACTTTAAAGAGGTCTTTTGCAGCAGATTTGCCTGTTGCAGTATGTCATTTTATTTCTTGACTGCTGCTTCCTTGAGCATTGATTGTGGATCCTAGAATAATGAAATCCTGACAGCTTCAGTATTTTCTCCATTTATCATGATGTCTGCTGGTCCATTGATGAGGGTTTTTGTTTTCTTTACATTGAATTTTAATCGATATTAAAGGCTATATGCAGTCTTTGATCTTGATCAGTGAGTACTTCAAGCAAGGTTATATCATCTACATATTACAGGTTGTTAATAAGCCTTTCTCCGATCCTGATGCCTCATTCTTATAATCCAGTGTCTTGGATTATTTGCTCAGAATACAGATTGAATAAGTATGGTGAAAGAATACAACTCTGATGCACACCTTTCCTAACTTTAAGCCATTCCCTTTCTTGTGTTTAAACCTTTCAGGGTCTGTTCGAGCTTGTTCTGTTTGAGATACTGCCTCTGGGCTATGTACACGTTCTGCATGAGCACAGTTAAGTTTCCTGGAATACCCATGCATCAAAGTGTTATCCATAGTTTGTTATGATCCACACAGTTGAAAGCCTTTGCATAGTCAATAAAACATAAACATTTTTTCTGATATTCTCTGCTTTCAGCCAAGATCTATCTGACATCAGCAATGATATCCCTCATTCTATGTCCTCTTCTGAATCTGGCTTGAATTTCTGGCAGCATCCTGGTGATGTTCTGCTGTAACCATTTTTAAATTACCATCAGCAAAAATTTACTTGTATGTGTTATTAACAATAATATTTGATAATTTCTGCATTCTGTTTGGTCACTTTTCTTTGGAATGGGCAGAAATGGATCTCTGTAGTCTGGTGACCACGTAGTTGTTTTCAGAATTTCTTGGCATAGACTAGTGAGAGCTTCCATTGCTGCACCAGTTTGTTGAAACATTTCAATTGGTTCTCCGTCAATACTGGATCCTTGATTTTCACTAATGCCTTCTTGAAAGATTTCCTTCTTGATCATGTGCTACCACATGAAATGATTGCGCATTGACCCATTCTTTTTTGAGGGGATTGGGGGTGGGTGGGTCCCTTTTACTTCTTGTTTGTGCTACAACAGGCCCCTCACCAGAAAAGATATTTTTTCGCCTTATTTTAACTTCAAAAGCTACCCGGGGGGGGGGCGGGGGGGAAGGTTCAACTGGATCATAGCAAACATGAGTTCCTTTACAGTGATAGAATAAAAAGGTTTTGGTAGTAGTGTGGCTCACCCAGGTGGTTTGGATACACATATTACCATTATTATTGTCTGTTACAGTTAGGCAGGCCGCCAAGCTTATTAGGAGGAGGATGTTCAGGCTTCGGCCTTGCGTGGACCAGCCAGCTTCCAGTTGTGGTTGGAGCAGGGTGGGTTGTACCTCTCAGTGTTACCTTGCAAGGGTTGGTAGGATCAGTTTCAACTTTCCACAGAGATGAGGCTTTCTTTCGTCTGCTGTGGTGAATCCAGGTGGGGTTTCCTTCTACCTTGGCTGCTGTGGGGGTGGTCAGAATGACAGTCAATGGTCCTCGCCCATACCAGGTCACCTGGGCTGAAAGAGTGCCCAGGGGAAAACAGAATGACAGTTAACCTCTCAATAACCCATTTGGCCACTTTTCCCAATGCTTGGAGTTGTGAGCTAATTTCAACTTCCCCTGTTTCCCTCATAGTCCCTGGCAAAGAGTGAAGAAGGGGAGGAGGTCGGGCAAGCAAAATTTCAAAAGGGGAGCATCCAGTGATTTTCTAAGGGGTACATCTGATTTTTAATAAAACAAGCAGAAAATTTTAGGACCAGGTTAAGTGAGCTTCCTGACACAATTTGCTAAGCCCATTTTTCATGGTACAGTTCATACATTTGACTTTGCCTGGGCTCTGAGGCCTATCAGCTGCATGTAGTTTCCAATTTATGCCCAGTATTTTACTTGTGTATTATACTATTTCTGCCATGAAGGCCAGTCCATTGCCAGATCCCATGGTTAGAGGCAGTCCATACCTTGGGATAATTTCTCATTCCAGCCCTCAGTAATCTTTGCAGA